ATTCAGTATTTAAATAATTCTAAGCATAACTCCTTTGTTCCCAGTTATTTCACCACAGAAAATGTGAAACTATGCAAAGCAGCCCAGCTGTGTGTAGAAAAGCATTTAGTTTGGCTACAACCACAATGAACTCTCCACAGATGCAGCAAATGCCTGTGGCCTCCAGAGGGCAGAAGAACAAAGCAAACTCCCAGCAGCAGCAGCAGCAGCAGCAGCTCTTCATACCACTGCCAAGACTTCTCTGACTCATGCCAAGAACTTAGATCAGCGCTGCTTTAAAATGTTATCAGAAAACAGATGATTATTTATCATTTTTAACAACTTACAACATGTGTATGCCTGCAAAACACAATCTGGCTGTTGCTACAAACTCAAACACAAAAGCAGAGTAAAGAAGGCAAAAGTTGTTGTATTGTTTGATTATGTATCTGCTGGTTTAATCTGAGGCGTCGCAACGGAGCAAATATGAAACAACAGAGCAGAAAGACCCCCAGTTTTTGTTTAGTGTCTCAGTTAAATCATTTTGCATCCCATTTTTGTTGCTGTTTTGGTTTTTTTTGTCTCATTTTGGTGATTGTGTCTCTGCCTATTTTTCTTGTGTTGTGTCCCATCTTGGTCATTTTGTGTCTGTGCCTGTTCTATGTCTCAATTTTGTTGTATTATGTTTCATGTTGTGTCTTTTTGTGGTCGTTTTGTCTCTCTTTTTGTCTCATTTTGGTTGTTTTTTATCTCTTTGTGCTAATTTTAAATATTCCTGGAATCATTTTGCATATTTGTGGTTGTTTTGTGTCTGATTTTTGTTGTTTCGTATCTCCGATTTGCCATTCTGTGTCTTTTTACAGTTGTTTTGTGTCTCATTTTGCTCATTTTGTCATGTGTCTAATCTTGGGTGTTTCATCTTTCTGTCTTGTTCTGTCTCACTTTTGTCGTTTTGTATCTCTTTGTGGTCATTTGTGTCTCTTTGGTATTGTTCTGGGTCTCATTTTTTTTTAGAACATTGTTTCATTTTTGTTGTTTTTTGTTCCCTTTTGTTAGTTTTGTGTCACATTCTAGTTATTTGTGTCTTTTTCTGACCATTTGTATCTTAAGGATGTTGTTTAAATGATTTTTATGCTGCTTTGTGTCTGAAAACAACTTGGTCTCAGTTTTGTGTCTCATTTTTTGTTTTGCATGCAATTTTTAAAATCTCTTTGTGGTCATGTTGTGTGTCTTTGTGCTTATTTTGAGTATTTCTGTGGCCATTTTGCATCTTTGTGTTTGTTTTGTGTCGCCTTCTGATGGATTTTACAGGTGAAGCTTGTGCATCAACCTAACTGTATGCATTAAACAACATATTTCATGATCTACTGCAAAGAAAATATAAAAGTTAAATTTTAAAAAATGAGCAAATCAGAAAGAACTTCTTATACTTAGAATGTGACAATGAATTCAGTCTGATCAGTGAGAGCGCTGTGTGATGCTTCATTCATATTCTCCTAACAGCTCTCCACTCTGCCCGGCTTTTACGCCGTTAAATCAAAACTAAATCTGTGTGACATCCTCCTCTTCGTGCACATTTTTTTTCGTCTCTCATTTCATTCATTCGCGTCCTTTCAGATAATCACCCCTGCAGTGTTTTGTCTCCTCTCCCCCATCTCATTGGTTTGGAGATGAAAGTTTGAACAGAATTGCTCATGAACTCCAGGGTCACTTTCCACGAGAGTCTCTCTTCAAGTCTGAATGTCTCATTTTACTTCTTATCACGCCATGAACCCTCACAGCAGGATCACTTCTGAGATTATTATTGAGCTCTTTTGAATGTGAAACTCTTGATAACACCACTCTATACCCCTTTTCATCATTTTTGGGGGGATTTTATTGCTTTAAATCAAAATTTGCTGCAGTTTCTGCGCCTATGAATAAATTAACCTGATAGGAGGTCCTGGCACAAAAGGGACTTTTTGGCCCAAAATCAAATTATCTACAACCAAAAGTGCGCTGCCCACTTCGTATTGCCGCCCTGTTCCCATATTATCAATCTGTTTCCTAATACCTCGCCATTTGCTTTTGCAAAACAGCGTTAAATTACCTCAACAGTACACTGAGTTTCCCTACAGATAGGAAATAAGGCGTGGCACCCAAGAAGAGACAGTAACTGAAAGATACTAAAATGTTTTGGCTCTGGTCATTATTCATTCAAATGTTTATTCATTTACATAAACATTTGAATTCAGACACGATAAAACTGACCATCGCTCAGTTCCTGACAGGGTTTTTACAGCTGCAGTCTGTCTCAGTCTGCTACAAACAGAAACAGAATAAAGTGTTCATCCCACTTGGGAACTTTCCCCATCAATTGCTTTTCAACAATGAAGCATGGTCAATAAAATTTGGCTTTTTTGGACAATAATTTACAAAAAAGAAGATTTTTTTTCGTGCAAGTGAAAACCAGCTTCTACACAGTAATGTCAATTAATTAATGTTGCGACTGGCTCTTAGGCTGCAACAAAGGAATGAGATGCACCAAGATGTTTTTACTAAAACTGAAGGAAACATATTACAGAAACTAAAAGTCACAATAAGGTGTGGTAGTGGTTCATTTGTGGTGCATGCTGTCAGTATAAGCAAAACAACACAAAGACAATGAGCATGCAGGGCTGGGTGGAAGAGGAGGGAAAGGTTTGGCAACTCGACAGGAAGGCTTATATAACCCACAGACGCTGGTCACGTGAACCCAGTTAATAAGCCTCACCCAGCCAAAGAACCTGCGAGAGAATACACAGGACCAAGGCGCTCCTAATTAATCAACATTAAAAATATAAAATAAGGATTCACCTCCTTTAAGTTAGTATTTGGTACATCGTTGGCTGCAATACAGCTGTGAGCCTGTGTGAACATTTCTTAATTATCCTTGAACATCTAGACACAGCAGTTTTATCCCGTTCTTTGCAAAACTGCTCAAACTCTGTCAGGTAGCAAACAGCCCTTCTTCAAGTCCAGCCATGAATTCTGAGTTTGATTGAGGTCTGGGCTCTGACTCCGCCCCTCCAGAACATTCAGCTTATTGTACTTAAATCATTTCTGCGTAGCTTTGGCTGTATTATTTAGATCAGCAGCTTAACAGAAAACAAAGGTTCTCCCCATTTGCTGCATTCATTAACCCCTCTGCCTTTACAGGTCTGCTGTCAGCGGCATCCCCAGATCATGATGCTGCCTCCACCATGCTTTATGGTGGGGATGGTGTGTTTATGATGATGTGCAGTGTTCGATGTCTGCCAAACAGAGCTTCTGGTTTGATGGCCAAAAAGCTCACTTCTGGTCTCGTCCCAGACAACCTTCTTTGAGTTGACTTCAGGGTCTTCAATGGGGAACTCAAGTCAAAATTTTTTTGGCTTTTTTCAACGGTGCCAGTCTCCAATAAAGCTTTGACTGGTGAAAAACAGGTAGAAGTTATTGTTTGCCTCTCTCATTTCAGCAGTTGAAACATGGAAGTCCTTTAAAGAAGTCATAGATGTCTTGGTGGCCTCCCTTGCACGTTTTTGAGGACGGCCTGCTCTAGACAGATCTACATGTGCCACATTCCCTCCATTCCTTGATGTCAGATTTAACTGCACTTCAAGGAATATTCAGTGTCTTGAAAG